CTGCTGAGTTTTCGTTCTGTAACGACGACAAGAAAGCAAACTGTTGGATGTCGTGTTCGTCCACACAAGTGACATACAAGACAAATACACACCGCTGAACAGTGTAAGATCGTTTATAACTGTAGAGTACTACTTACTTGACTTTGTAGGAACAAAAACTGTTATTGCCGATAAGGTCCCATATAACCTTTAAAAGACAAATGATTCAATGTCAAAGATGAACGTTCACCGCTAGCAGTGTTTTATATTGATCTTCTGTTAAGATTTCGTTTCGGTTATTATTATCTGTTCATTCCAAACGTTTTAATGATTGGGTTGGACTGGATTGTGAAAGAAATGCAGCTAACAATTGTCCAGTATAAATGGGAACATCTTCAATACTGTTTAAAAACATCTCATAAAGTTGGTTGAAAGAATGCCGAGTTAGAATCTAAACAGAGCACAATGACTTTAGAAAAGATCAAATATCAAGATAGTTTGGCTTTTTTTTTTTTTTTTTGTATACTGGTGTGATGATCCATGACGTGTCTTATCTTACCCCGTTCAACATTCTTCATGTTGTCTGGTTGTGAATTGTCTGCTGTCTGGTTGTATATGGAGGACCAAACCTGCAGAAATTAAAAATAATAAATACACAAATAAATAAATAAATGTGTGTATAAATACACGTATTCTTGTTTAAATACATATATAAATAATTAAACGTGTGATGAAATACAGTATAGGCAAATAAATAAAATAAATTGGTGGCCAAATGGAAAATGTTTAAGGAAATGCTAAACTCATCCTAACTATTATCGTTTGATCCCTCGTGTATTTCTGAATGTAGTTCCACTTTTATTTTTCTTCTTCACAACATGCTAATGAGAGGGTGTCAATCATGGACTTGCTCGGGTCTTGTGATAGCTGGGTGCATGGCTTTCCCGCTGACTGGAGATGCATGGTGTTAATCCAGTATAGCCTATGTAAAGTCACTTTTGCCGTTCAACAGAGCAAGATACATAAAAAACTGAGCTGTATTGTCTGTACAGTATCTGTGACTTTACAAACGACCCAACAGAATGGCCAGAGGTGTCATTTCCTGGCATTCGATATTTGCAAATCTAGGGACCGTCTCTAAAGTTACATACCACATTGGTATACACTTTTCTAACTTCAATAGCATTTGAGGAAAATTACTTACAGTATCACAACCAACTGTGAAGTGTTCATGTAGTTCTCAGTTATAATGCACACCTTTTATGATTTTTTATATTTATTCAAATAAACTGTCAAATCATATATAAATATGTTGTTTATTTCACTACCGAATGGGCTTAAACACAAAATATATATCATAATTTAAAGCTCAGTAGCATTTGAGGAGAATGACTAACAGTAACACAACCAACTGTGAAGTGTTGTGTCATGTAGTTCTCAAAAAAAAGTTCGGCAAAAGTGAGACGAACCCGGGTCGATCGCGTCAAAAAGCCAATACCACATGCTAATCCATCTGCACCACTGTAGCTGATAAATCACAGCCACTTTTAACTAAATGTAAATAGACACCCCGTATTTTTTATTCCATAGAAAGGACAATTCAATACAATACATTTAAACGGAGCTACTTTAGTACCATCTCCGAACTTTCTACCAGGACTCTGCTGTTCTTCGGCTGGTTCTTCCCTGTATACGTTGATTGACAGATGTCTCGTCCAGTCAGCAGTGAGTAATCCCAAACCAATGGTGCTGTCTCAATCTATACCTACCTCTTCCGGTTTGTCTGAATTGTCATAGTGTTTTCTGACTTGTTCATATGATTTAAGATTGTTCTGCTTGACCAGCATGTTTAAGCCAGCCAAACTGGTCAAATTAAAAAGTAATCTTCAAATCCACTTCAACATGCTGTCTGTGGAGGTATGCATATCTTTAGCTGTTTGTTTAATGTACTCACAATTTATTATTGCATAATAGTTTACCTGTGTACCTACTTATTTTAGGCTATGCTATACATTTTTGCAACCAGTTATTGGTGTGATTATTTAGTTGTTAAATAATGAACAAGGAAGGTTTTTTTTGTGCCATTTACAGGGAGAATATTCTTATTTTTTGTTGTTTTCCAGTACATCTTGTCTTGGGAGCACCCTTTGATTTTACATCTGTAAGTAGTTATCAGTTAAAGTAATTGACCTTTATGATGTTGTAGCAGTTGATATTTAAAGATTTCTCTATGTTTGTGTCTTCCAGTGTGACATTCCAATCATACGGAGATGGTGGACTCCAGATGGTTTTCTCTGAAAGGTACTGGACATTTCCTCCAGCACACCATTACATTTGCACCCCCTTCTGACCAATTTTTAAATTAACCAAGAAACATGTATAATACAGTGCAGAAACCCTACAAGAGGCCCTTCCAATTGGATAACAGGCTACGCTTGTGAGGTATGTCTTAAATCTGTCTATATACATTAATAAGAAATATTAAAGTTACATTTTCCTTTAATATTCTGTAATGAAGGAGATCCCAGTAATCTCACAGACGTTGTGAAATGGCTCCATTAAACAGACATCTGTTCAGGGGGCCAGTGGAAGAGCCTCTTTTCCTTATAATGGAGGAAGAGGATAAGGAAATGACATATTAAGCATTTTAGAAACATTAATCTTGTGTAAATTAGTTGTAGACCTATATAGTTATTCGTTTCATTGTATTATGCGAGTAATTTCCTGTTTGTGATATTAAAAATAATGTTTGAAACTTCTGGGCATTTTATATAAAATATACTTTAATCACAAGATTCTAAATAAATGTTTACTCCAACGTCAAGAACCACGTGCATCATACATTTTTCTATATGAAAACTAAAACATTTCAATAAAACATACACACACAAACAGCAGCATCATTTTAAAAGTAACAATCAAAATGTACACAATAATTAAATTGAATTTTATCAAATGAACAATTCACTATTAAGCCCATTTTGTCATGACAATTGACATTCTTACTATGTGCTTTTATTTTTATTTTATTTAGTTTGTGTTGAGTTTTAGTAGCATGCTTTGTCATATTCAGAGTTGATCTGTTTATTTAGTTTGTGGATTGTCACCATTGTTGAGATTCATACGCTGATTCTTGATGTGTTTGTCTAAATTACAACAATGTTTTATTTAAATTAATGATGTTTTAATAGTCTTTGATTATTCAGCAGAATTTGTTTTCTTCCAGTGTCAATAAACTATTAAGAGGATCATATGGTGTTGCTAAAAAGAACATTATTTGGTGTAATGAAATGTGTTTATGTGGTTTAAGGTTAAAAAAACACATTATTTTCCACATACTGTACATTATTGTTTCTCCTCTATGCCCCGCCTTTCTGAAACGCGTTGATTTTTACAAAGCTCATCGGTCTGAAAAGCGAGGTGTGCTGTGATTGGCCAGCTATCCAGTGTGTTGTGATTGGCCGAATACCTCAAGCGTGTGACGGAAATGTTACGCCCCTCACCATACTGTGATGATGCCCTGTCCGGCCGGAGCGACGAGACAAAAACATGAAAACCCATTATAAACCAATAGTATCCAGCTGCAGACCCGCAGCACCAGCAGTTTCAGAACCGCAGCCACAGAACCGGAAGTGAGGGGAGGAGCTTAATTTTTTTTTTAACAGAGTAGCGCCACCTTACGGTGTCATGTAAATTAACTTTTCCATTTTGTCATGACCATTAATTTACTTTTAATTTACCGTTTCAGTTAATTACTGTGGGCCTTTAGCCCCAACAGCAGGGGGCTAAAGTACCATACGTTACATATTCTTTCGTTATTTAAAAACTGTTGCTTTAATTATCTAAAACAAAACTGAAAATCATAAAGAAGACCTTTCTCTCAAGATATATGCATTAATTTGAGCGATTCTCATTTGCTACTTAAATCTACAACATTTTAAAAAACATAAAATATTAGATCAAGTAAGCACAGAATCAACTTTGCACTGCTGCGCGTGATCACGCCAAAGATCAGACAAACATACAGGTGCATCTTGAAAAACGGATGTTATGGAAAGTGCTATGCCACGTTTTTGTTGGGCCCCGGGGCTTCAGCCCCGCCTAGCCCAATGGTTAAAACGGCCCTGCTGATAGGAAAAAGCAGAATTGAACATGTACAATCAGATCAAACTAATGTGTACAAAAGTAAATAATTGACTCTGTCTATGAAAGTTAGATTTGCCTAAATTATATATTTTTGTTGCAATTATATATATATATACATGTTCTTTAATTAAATTTTTAAGAAATAAATGTCTTCAATAAGATGAAAATCTACATTCAGTGCTGAACTACAAAAAAAAAAAAAACCTGGCAACACATTTCATCTTGTGGACGCGGGTTCACGACAGTACCATGGGTACTGGACGCGGGTTCACGACAGTTCACGAGCGTCATGGTACTGTCGTGAACCCGCGTCCACAAGTGACACAGTAGAGACGAAAATGTGGAATAAAGTCGTTATTTTTGTTTTCTTTGGGCAAAAAAGTATTCTCGTAGCTTCGTAACTTTACAGTTGAACCACTGACGTCACACGGACTACTTTGTCGATCATCTTGCTACTTTTCTGGACCTTGAACGTGGTAGTTACCTTGCTGTCTATGGGAGGGTCCGAGAGCCCTCAGATTTCATCAAAAATATCTTAAATTGTGTTCCGAAGATGAACGAAGGTAATCCGGGGTTGGAACAACACGAGGGTGAGTAATTAATGACAAAATTTTCCTTTTTGGGTGAACTAACCCTTTAAATCCCAAGAATCGATTAGTGTTGCCTGTTTTCAGTTAATGGACGGAACATTGAAGGGCACCTCCCATCCAATATATCGCAATAAGCATTGTGCTTTGGTGCTTTTAATATGAAGCAAAGTCTCAGATTTCAAATTCTGTCCATTGTATTGCAGTATTCAAACAATAAATGGCGTTTTGGCACTGTTTAATGTGGAGTGACAGATCGCTGTAGCGTCTCAGTTCTACAGACGCGGTAGAGC